CTACTCTTCTCGGCGCCCTCCGGAGCCGTCTTGGTGTGGTGGCCTTCGGAGGCCTCCCTGCACGGGCCAAGGCACAGGAAAGGGCAAGGTGATCTTCCGACGGGCGTGCCTGCAAGATACTGATTTGAAGTCGGGCCTGTCCCTCTACAGGAGGGAAATTTTAAAATAGTTTTAAAAAAACAAAACAAAAAACAAAAAAATGAAAATAGTCAAGAAAACGTATGGAGACGATTGTTTGACAAGTTTTGGGCATTTGGGAAATAGTTGCTGGACTATGTTTCGTTTGTCGCCCAAGATTCTCCCTGGAAGGGAACAGGCCCGACCTGATTCTAGCTCGCTGCGTAGAATTGGTCTGGGGCCCCGCCCTCTCCGTCCTCTCGTGCTGCTGGTGTACGACCGAGGGCTCCAGCGGCTTGCCGTGGAGCCTCCGCCCACTGCTAGTATTCGGAGGTGGATAAACTCAGGAGGGAAAGAAACACACAGACACAATTAATCGTCGACTCCCAGGAAAATATGCAAAAATATGGGAAGTGGTGGGGAAGACAAAAACCCAGAAAATATGGGGGATATTTTTATTTGTGTGTATTTATTTGTGTGTTCCAGTTCCCCTTCATAAACCTCCTACCCTGACACGTCGATTAAGGAATTTGCCGTTTTCGGTTCGCGAAAGGGCGTCGCGGCCGTCATTTTTGCGGGTCCAGGTCCGTCGGTTTCGGTCCCAGGCCGTTTTCACGAAGGAGAGGTTTACTAAAGGAAGGCTTGTCCACCGCCGAAGTACGACAAGTCCGTGCAACGTGCCCCTCCCTCTACTTCGCCCTTGCGCGATCAAGCATTCAAATGATGGCTATCCCCATGATGTTCGCATGTCTGTCAAGTGGGTTCCACTGGAGTCCACTGAAGACAAGTGGAGCCCAACGGTGTCCTTTGCAGACCAGCAGAGACCGCCAGAGACAGATCGAGACCAATGGAGTTCAATAGAGTCCGGTGGAGTGCAATGGAGACCTATATGGAGCCCAACGGAGTCCGATGGAAGCGTATGCGGTTCAGTCGAGTCCATTGGAGTCCAATAGAGTCCAAGCGTATGGAGTCCAAAAGAGTCCATTGGAAAAGTGTAGTTTAATGGAGTCAAATCTTGTCCAAGAGCTCATCGAGTCCAACGTTGTCCAATGTAGTAGTTCTGCGGCCGTATGTGTATTCCAACGGAGTCCCATGGGTATTTGAACGGATCCCAACGGAGCCCTATTTGGGTTTCATGGAGTCCTAGGGTGTGGATCCCATGGGGTCCAGTAGAGTTCAACGTTGTCCACTGCTGTCCAGCGAGTTCAACGAAGTCCAATGGAGTCGAATGAACAGTCCACTTGATTTAAGTGGAAACCCATGGAGTCTCATGGAGTTCACTAGAGCTTTATGGATCGTCCAATGAATTTCCATGGACTCCTACGGAGTCTCATGGAGCCGTACGGGTATTCATATAGAGTCTTATGTAGAGTCCAATGGTGTTCAATGGAGTCATACGGAGCTTTGGAGCCCACCCAATGCAATGTAGCTGTATAGGCTTTCTCAATTGAGCCCACTTGAGTCGTATTGGTGTTCCAATCGATGGAGTCAAAAAGGGTCCAATGAAGTTCTGTGGAGCCCAGAGGAGACCGATGGAACCTTGTGGTGCCCCAGTGGAGTTCTGAGCAGTCCGATGGAGTCCAACAGAGCCCAATGGAGCCCTTGCAGTCCATTCGATTGTTCCTGTCGGGAGTCAGCGCTGGGAGATCTGCGAACGCTTCTTGCGCTCCCAGGACCGTGCTGGACGCCGGTTGGCCTTTCTGGGTTTCCTCGGACCCTGCCGGCGCCCCTGGGAGGTGCACCGTCTCGGGCCAGTCCGAGGGCATTTTGGAGCCGGCCGTCTTGGAGCGGTCCTGGGTTGGGCGTTGCGTAACGGGGGCGGTCATAAATGGGGGGGTGGCGAGGGTGGTCCGAAAAGGTACCCAAACGGTATCTAAACGAGCCCCCTGGGGCTCCGGAGGGGCCCAAAAAGGGGCACGAACGGGGACCGTTTCTGACCCCCCCATGTATGACCCCCCTCCATTAAGCCACGCCCAACTGGGCCGTCGAGGTGGGTGGGGACCGCAAAAGGGGCGTCGCTCGTTCAGAAGACTTCCAGGGACCCCACCAGACAGATGCCCTCCGATGTTGCAAGTCTCATCGTGTCGCTGGCTCGGTGGTGGATTGTGTGCAGATTGGTGCCTCGTCGAGCCATATACCCACGCGAGAAGGCCGAGTTCCGACGTCCTCCAGCAGCAGCGCGGCCGTTGGCACACGAGCCGTTGTCGGAATGTGCAGACGCCATGAGGCACTGCCTCGCCTTCCTGTCGCCCTTCGAGCGCCGCGCGCTGTCTCGGACCCACCACTGTTTGGCTGGAGCCGAGTGTGACGTCCACGCTCACCTGGCTTCTCGCCGGCGCGATTTTGAGGCGAGGGCCGAGGTTCGAAACCCCGACTGGCAGTGCCCACCAAGCCACGATCTATTCTTCTTCTTCGCAGGCAATCTGCTGATATCCTTGTCGAACTTGGCGTACATGGGCTACCTGGGCCAGCGCATCGGCAGCAGCGTGAGCTTCTGTGTGCTCCCACTGGGGATATTTTGGTGCTGGGTCTCGGTGGACACTGTCTGGAGATTGGCTTGTGCACTACGTTGGAGCGTGCGTGCAAGAGTTCTTGCCGAGCTGGCGCCGTGTCAAGTTGAAACCGGCCTTTGATTTGAGCTCAGACCTCCTCACGTAATGAAGAACAACAAGGTCGGTTGTTGTTGTTGCTGCTGCTGTTGCTGTTGTTGTTGTGGCCGTTGTTGTTGTTGTGGCTGTTGTTGTCGTTGTTGTAGTAATTGTTGTTGTGGTCGTCGTTGGTGGTGTTGGTGTTGGTGTTGTTGTCGGTGTGCTTGTTGTTGTTGGTGGTGTGATTGCTGTTGTCGGTGTTGCTGGTATTGTTGCTTGTGTGTTTGTTTTGTTGTTGTCGGTGTTGCTGGTATTGTTGCCTGCGTGTTTGTTTTGTTGTTGTTGGTGTTGCTGTTGTTGTTGTTGTTGTTGTTGTTGTTGTTGTTGTTGTTGCTGTTGCTGTTGTTGTTGTTGTTGTTGTTGTTGTTGTTGTTGTTGTTGTTGTTGTTGTTGTTGTTGTTGTTGTGTTGTTTTGTTATTGTTGTTGTTGTTGCTGCTGTTGTTGCTGCTGCTGTTTTCTGCCTTTTGGGGGCCCTCACTGTGCCCCGGGACCGTCGATTATTCCGGATGCAAGAACCGGTCCCAGGGAGTGGGTCGAGACCTTTGGAGGTCGACGTCATGAACAAGTCGTGACGCCGGGGTCTTGTAAATAGGGATATGTTCGTGTAGCCTCGCAGATAATCTTAACAATGGCCGCGCGTGTCTGAAGACACCCGCCTTGTTACTGTCTCACTCTTTGGGACTCGGGGGGGCGCAGGATAGGAGGAGGCAAAGGAGGAGGTACAGGGAAGCGTTTAGACTCTCTCCGTCCTTCGTGAGCCCAGAGGTGAGAGCGAGGACTCTGGCCTTGTGGTAGATCCTGCGGAACGCAGGTAGGAGCCGTCTGCTCTCCGGACGCCTTCTAGATAGGCATCAAAGGTATCAGAGGGGAAGTTGGCCGAGGAGGAACTGGAGGGGGTGGCTCCTCATTTCCATCGTCCCCCTATTCCTTCCGCTCTTCATCTCCATCCCTCTCGTCTTCCTCCATGCCCTCCTCTTTGTCGTCGTCGTTGTCGTCGTCGTTGTCCGTCGTCCTCCTCGTCCCCCGCCTCCTCCATGCCTTCTCCTGGTAAATATTTTCTCCTTGTCGCACTCCGAGACCCGTTTTTAGGCGTTTCGCGTGAGACTTCCTCACCATTTATGACCCTGAAGCGTAAACATTGGCAACAGCTTTACAGATGGCGGGCGGGCCGTTTTCAAATTGTGGCTCTCGCCTTAGCGCCACGCGCATTCGTGTTCAACATTTGCAAGAGCTTCGCGGATTGAGGGCTGGTGGTTTTCAAAATGTAGTTCTCGCGTTAGCGCCGCGCAAGTTCGTTTTCAAATGTTGCGAGAGCTTCACGGATCGAGGGCGGGTGGTTTTCAAAATGTTGCTCTCGCCTCAGCGCCGCGCACATTACTTGTCAACATCTGCATGAGTTTAACGGATGAAGGGCGGGTGGTTTTCAAGGTGTGGCTCTCGCTTTAGAGCCTCGCACGTTCGTTCTCGACATCTGCACGAGTTTCACGGATTGGGGGCGGGTGGTTTTCAAAATGTGGTTCTCCCCTTCGCGCCGCGCACATTCTTTTTCAATGTTTGCAAGAGTTTCACGGATTGATGGCGGGAGGTTTTCAACATCTGGTTATCGCCTCAGCGCCGCGCATATTCGTTTTCAACAGTTGCAAGAGCTTCAGGGATTGAGGGCGGGTGGTTTTCAAAATGTTGCTCTCGCCTCAGCGCCGCGCACACTACTTGTCAACATCTGCATGAGCTTAACGGATTGAAGGTGGGTGATTCTCAAGGTGTGGCTCTCGCCTTAGCGCCGCGCACATTCTGTTTCAAACCATGTAAGAATTTCACGGATTGAGGGCGGATGGTTTTCAACATGTAGTTCTCGCCTTAGCGCCGCGCACATTCCTTTTCGCATTTTGTATACGGCTCTCGCCTCAGCGCCGCGCACATTCTGTTTTCAACAGTTGCAAAAGTTCCACGGGTTCCCATGATCGGCGTACCAGAAATTATGCTTTGGAAAAGTTCGCGAGTATGAGGGCGAAACGGTTACGGTGATTCGCGGTGTTGAAGTCTCAGGAATGGAACGTCAATTCGCGTTCTGGCATGCTTTGGGATTGTCCAGTCGCAACAGTCAGGTTTACCCGAGGCGTTGGAATGCCGAGAACAATGTTTTGGCATGTTTCAGTGTCTTCAAACGGTTGCCTTCCAACGAGGCAGGTCCCTTTCTGGAAATGAAGCGTTGTAGGGGCCTATGAAGAGGGAGCTTGGGGGGAGGGCTTATTCAAACATCGTTGGCGACTCTTGGTTTAAACTGGTCCTTCTCCTCCTCCTCCTCCTCCTCATCTCCTCCTCCTCTTCCTCCTCCTCCTCCTCTTCCTCCTCCTCCTGGTTTCTGGTTTCTGGTGGCGTGAGAAGTCATAGCCTGTCCTCCTCCTCCTCCTCCTCCTCCTTTCCTCATCCTCCTCTGTCTTCTCCTCTCCCTCCTCCTCCTCCTCCTCCGCCTCCTCTTCCTCTTCCCTATTATCCTTCTCCTCCCCCTTACTCTCCTCCTCCCCCTCTTCCTCCTCCGCCTCCTCCTCCTCCTCCTCCTCTGGCTCCTTCTCCTTTTCCCTCTCATTCTCCTCCCCCATGTTTTTCGGTATTCCTGTTCCTGCTGCTGCGCCCTGTCCTTCCACATCTTCATCCTCCTGCCTTTCCGCCGCCTCCCTCTCCTCTCCTCCTCCTACTCCTCCTCCCTCCCCTCCTCCTCCTCCTCCTCCTCCTCCTCCTCCTCCTCCTCCTCTCCTCCTCCATATGTCTTCTGCTCGTCCTGCCCCCTCCTCATCATCCTGCCCCTCCTCCTGTCCTATCGCCCTCCCCTCCTCCTCCTGGTTCTGGTTTCTGGTGGCGTGAGAAGTCGAGCTGTCCTCCTCCTCCCCTTTCCCATCCTCCTCTGTCTTCTCCTCTCCCTTCTCCTCTCCTCCTCAGCCACTCCTCCTCTTCTCCTCTTCCCTATTATCCTTCTCCTCCCCCTTACTCTCCTCCTCCCCCTCTTCCTCCTCCGCCTCCTCCTCCTCCTCCTCTGGCTCTTCTCCTTTACCCTCTCATTCTCCTCCCCCTGTTTTTCGGTATTCCGTTCTGCTGCTGCGCCTGTCCTTCCACATCTTCATCCTCTGCCTTTCGCGCTCTCTCCTTCCTCGCCTCCCTCCTTCCCTACCTCACCTCCTCTCCTCCTCCTCTTTCCTCCTCCTCCTCCTCCTCCTCCTATCTCCTCCTATGCTTTGCTCGTCCTGCCCCCCTCCTCATCATCCTGCCCCTCCTCCTGTCCCTATCGCTCCCTCTCCTCCTCCTCCTCCTCCTCCTGCTCCTCCTCCTCCTCCTCTGCCTTACCCTCCCCATCTTCCCCCTCATCCCTCCCCAAACTACCGCAACACAGAGGAACAACCCGGCCGGCAGCAACCACAGCAGCATGAGCGACAGCGGCGGCAGACATTTGAAGATCGCTCGCTCGTGCGTGCGCGCCGGTGCTCCAAGGGCACAGTTCCTCCCCTAGGCTTCGGTAGCAAATCATGGGAGCCTTATGTACCCACGCATTTGTGTCTCCAGCATCGACCAGCGTCGAGTAGCGTCTAGGAGTCGATGAAACAGCGCCGACTTCTCGTCGGTCAGCGTCGATCGGCGTCGATCTGGCGTCGATCTAGCGTCGATCTAGCGTCGATTTAGCGTCGATTCGCAAGAGCCGACGAGATGGCATGGGAGGGCTCCCCTGAGTTGCCACCGCACAGTTCCTAGTTCCTACCCCAGGCTCGACTGTCGCAGCCCGGCTCGTGCGGCGTTCCGGGCCCGCTCGGCGACTCTGCCCAGCAGCGCCCGGCCGAGCCAGCGGCTTCGAGCCTGGTGGTCGTTTCAAGCGCCGGGACAAGTATCCCGCAAGCGCACCCGGCCGGCCCGCCTCTGCAGATCGGGCGCGCGTCACCCGCGGTGCGCCCGGGGAGGGTTGCACCTCTTGGGCCGAGTTCATCGGGCCCGCTGCCTTCGATCCGGATGCCGGGCGGTGAAAGGTACACCCCTCGGACGGGGCCAGGACCAGGACGAGGGTCAGCCACGCGCAGAGGGGAGCGGGGGGAGGGGGCAGGGCGTCTTAGAAGCACCCCTGCTTCTTAGAAGGCGCGGGCCTTCTCTATAGATGTAAGGCCGGCGCCTTCTAAGAAGCAGCCTGCTTCTAAGAAGCCCTCCCCCCTCCCCCCACCCCCTTGTGCGCGCCGCCAAGAGGGTAAATCCGTTCCAGAGCCTTCCGGAACGCTCTCAGAGCGCTCCGGGAGGCTCTGGGAATGCCGCGGCGCCCGAGGCATCCTCCAGAGCCGCCGCCTCTTCAGAGGTTCTCGAGTGATCCTCGCCCGAAGGTATCTTTGGCCTGGCTCCGTCTTTCTCCCTCGGCGCAGCCCCGCTCGCGAGCCTCCCTCCTCCTCTCCGCAGGGGGGGCTCCCTCTCGATGTTCCCGCCCCCCGGGGGTCGCCTCTCGGCACCCCGAGAGGGGCCCGCCGAAGAGCACAGCGGGAGGAGATCCCGAGGCGCAGGGGCAAGGCGGGGACGCGTCCTCCTCCTCCACCACCTCCTCGTCCTTCTCGTCCTGCTCCTCCTCCTCTACCTCCTCCTCCTCGTCGTCGTCCTCCTCCTCCTCTTCTTCTTCCTCCTCCTCCTCCTCTTCCTACTCCTCATCATCATCATCATCATGGGGGGCGTCACATGGGGGGGGCAGCGGGGGCTGCCGAAAACTGCCCGTCAGGGCCCCTCCTAAAGGGAGCCTGCAGGGCCCGAGCAGGGCACCACTCTCCACGGGCAGTCGCCCGCCTGCCATTCGATCGGGCCACCATCGGGGGCGCGAAGTTGGCCTCGTCATGCAGCGAGGGGGGTCCTGAGGGAAGCAGGCCCCGGGCCCCGGGGCTTTCCCCCGGGCCTGTGCTTCCTCCCGAGCCGTGCCTTGATGGTCCCGGCGCCCGCGCGGGGCCCCAGGGCCCCGTGAGTTGCGGAGGACTTCCTGGGCCCCTTTTCCCCTGGGACCCCCTTCTTCTCCGCTCGAGCACCGCGGAAGTTCCGAGCACAGTATATGACTACCACCACCCAGATCGAGAGTAATCTACGATGCGATTTGGTGCAGTTTTGCTCTGGCGAGAAGCCCGTTGCCCTGCCCCTAACCCTGCCCCTAACCCTTTCTGCGGTAAGTTACTGTTGCGGGCGGTGGTGGTGTATAGACATTGGCCTCGCAGAAGTCGACCCCTAGACCTCTCCAGGCTCTTGCTCCGACGAGGACTTCTCGAGGCGGGTCCAGCCCGAGCAGCGACGAGCCTCCGCACATCGGCAGACATCGCTTTCACGCATCGCGCACGCATCTTGAGGGCCGAACCTCTGTTTCCTCCAGGGCCCGCTCCTTCTTGTGCCGAGCAGCCACGCTCGGCCACGCGCAGAGAGGGGTCATTATCGGGGGAGGGGGGGGGGGCTGCTTAGAGGCCCCCCTGCTGCTTAGAAGGCGCTTGCCTCGTCTGCAGGTGCGGGGCCGGCGCCCTCTGAGAAGCAGCCTCCGTCTAAGAAGCCTTCCCCTCTCCCCAGACCTCCTGGTGCGCGCCGTCGACACGCTCCGCTCTTCGCGGCGAGCTGCGCGAAGTCGCGGCGCGTCTGGTCGCCCACCCGCCAGATCTTGGCATCGCTCGGACGCGTGCACTCTCTCGGCGAGGGCAATCGATGAGCATATGGGATCATCCTGCGGAACATACACGCACGAAGTCGAGACATACACGAAGCATGGACGTCCGAGCGATGCCAAGAGAACCCCACGAGATAAAAAAAAAGTCGTACGGTGGAGCATCTCATTAATAAGCTTCCTCCTGAAAAGATGGACCAGCGTTCCTTGACCAGCTTGCTGGGACACTGACCCGGTTTCTTGCACACGTTGGTCCCTCCAGCGTGAAGCTCAAAGTTGACCCAGGTCGGTCTGAAGAGGCTTCTAGAAAGCCAGCCCAAGTTCCTTATCACATGATTGTTTTGCTCGTATTTTCGGTTGTGCCTTCTCTGCCGCCGCGTGAGAGGCTCCATCCGCCCCACCTCGCAGGAAGGGAGCGGGACACGCCCTGCTGCCGTGCAGGAGACGCCACCCCCCTCGCAGGGAGGGAGCGGCACGCTCTCTGCCGCCGTGCAGGAGGCCCCGCCCCACCTCGCAGGAAGGGAGCGGGTCCTGGAAGGCAGGGGCCCTCCCCCCCCCTCGTCCAGGGGCCCGGGCACGGAACCCGGGGCCGCCAGCAGCGCTGCTCGGGGCGAGAGGCTGGGCCCGGGGAGAGCCCTGGAGTCTGGGATCCGCTGTCGCCCGGGACCTCGCTTCTGCGCGGCGGCTCGCGCCTCCGCGGCGCCTCTCTCTGAGGACGCCTAGATCCGAAGCGAAGAGCAGCAGGAGCAGCAGCAGCAGCAGCAGCAGCACCGGCCCTCCCCCCCCCCCCTTCAAGATCGGCCCAGACTCTGCGGCGGATGACGGCGATGGCCCCCCCTCGCAGGCCCAGAGGTGGAGGAGGAGGAGGAGGAGGAGGAGGAGGAGGAGGAGGAGGAGGAGGCTTGTTCGTGCCTGCGAGGCCGTTGGTTACATTATGACACTGTGGTTGGTGCTTTGAGGCATGATTCGCCAGTTGGCCGATGCCCCTTGCAGACGAATGCCATGGCGGTGTGGCCGACCATTCTGACACGACGCTGCGGCCGAACATTACGAAGCGGCATCCTGACGTCTCACTGCAACTCAACAGGACGACCTCGCCTCTAATACCCGACAGTGTGACTCAGAACTGCGGCAAGCATCCTACGCACATGCACGACCCCGGAGCCCGGGGATGGCACCCAGACGCCGAATAGCCAGGCGCTGCTTCGACGACGACGACGACGACGACGACGACGACGACGACGACGACGACGACCGACGACGACCGACGACGACCGACGACGACGACGACGACGACGACGACGACGACGACGACGACGACGGACGACGACGACGACGACGACGACGACGACGACGACGACGACGACGACGACGACGACGACGACGACGACCGACGACGACCGACGACGACCGACGACGACCGACGACGACGACGACGACGACGACGACGACCGACGACGACGACGACGACGACGACGACGACGACGACGACGACGACGACGACGACGACAGGTCCGTGCGCAGCCCTTCTGCGGCCGCGGGCCCCTGCCCGCGCTCCGCGCCCTCGCCGAGCGCCTGGCGCCCAGCCGGCGCACGTGGCCTTCGCCGTGCCGCCCGCGGCAGCCGACTGTCGGCTCAGGCGGCGGTGGGCAGGCGGCGCGGGCCTCCTCCTCCTCCTGCCTCCGCCTCCTCCTCCTCCTCCTCCTCGTCCTCCTCCTCCTACTCCTCCTCCTCCTCCTCTTCCTCCCCCTCCTTCTCCTCCTCCTCCCCCGCCTCCTCCTCCTCCCCCTCCTCCTCCTCCTCCCCCTCATCCCCCTCCTCCTCCTCCTCCTCCTCCTCCTGCTCCTCCTCCTCCCCCTCCTCCCCCTCCTCCCCCTCCTCGCCCTCCTCCCCCTCCTCCTTGCGCGATGGACTCCTCCTCCCTCTGCTTCTGCTCTTTCCGTTTTCCATTCCTCTCACAGCCTCGGGCCGAACGGTCGGTGCTGTCTTGTCTGCCACGGGTCTGCCCCGTTTGACACTGTTACGCAGGGGCGAACGACCCCGTGTTTCGAGCTCGTGTCGGGAGGCCAAGGTGTCTTGCATCTGCGTGTCGGTCAGTCCTTGCATTTTTGCGGGGGTTGGGTAGGGCCTCAACATAAGAGGACGTTTCACGTTGACCTGAAGGTTTGGCATTGTACATCGTGTGGCTTCTACAGTACCGAGCTCCTCTCTAAAGGCTTGAAGCTCCTTGCAGAGGGCTAGGCCTTACCCGAGCTCAGCAGGCAGCGAGGGCTTCGGGTGTCTGTGAATCTGGGATATCACCCCGTGATGGCATCCACTCCACTCCACTCCTTGCGCGATGGACCTGCCGCGTCGCCGCGGCACGGCCAGTCCATCGCGCAAGGTCTGAGAAGCGGCACCCGCTTCGCGAAATGTGTGCTGCATTCCATCTTCGAGTAGAATTCGCCCGCCCAAGTCGAGATCAGCCACGGGATTTGACAGGGCGACCTTTCGCAGAGCGTGGTCGCCCCAATTTCTACCCTCCGCACCAAAGTTACCGCGTGCCTGATTGACGCCTGCGATGAGCTAGCTGGCTGAGTGGAAGCCGGATGCTTCCCCCAAGTCGGTCATCGTCTGGTCAGTCCACGTCGGCGCTGAAGAGATCTCTCGTCGACTTCGCGCTCGTGGGTTTCAGGTGCGCGCAGTTGCCCAAGCCCCCTTCGCGGGCATCGACCAAGGAGGTGGCGGCCAACGTGCACGTCCGACTCGATGGGCGCGGCTTGCCGAGCACGCGAAGCGCCGCAGCAAGATCTTTCGGTCTGCTTGGGCTTCGCAGGCATGCAGGGCCCCCGGCAGGCTCGAATTGGCCAGTGCTTCTGCAGCTGGCAGCTACGGCCACCGCGTCCTCGGCGCCTCCGGCTGCCAGCTGGAACACCTCCGTCGCAGCCCGGCCGCCGTGGCGGGCTTTTTTTGTTTTCAGCTGCGGCGTTTCTAAGATTTCTCTCCTAGCCATCAAGGGGCCCGCCATGAGCTATAGGCATCAGGTGTCCACATGAAATGTGTTGAGTTTTGGCGTAGGCAGCAGTTCGGCAAACCATCCATTCGCGACGGGGTGCATCGCGCGCGGTTCAACGCCAACGTAGTCTGCCCGCGGCCAAGCGGGTGCGCCACATTCGTGGGCCGATGTCGGCTGTCATCACCCAGTACGTTTGCACTGTGGATCATGCCCGACTGGTGCCCTGATATCATGAAGCTCCATGCGGCTTGCGAGTTTTTCTTCTGTATGATTTCGATGAGGTTTCAGAGTTGCTGGCATGGCGACGCGCTGAGTCTCATTCCAGTGGTGGTGGTCTTTGGCTGCGAGCCCACACGGCACCCTTGCAACAGCTCCTACAACGCCATAAGCAGCCGCAGCACGGGAGACGGTTGCCAGAAATATTGGCCACCGTGGCCGCTGGCGGAGGATGGCCACGGCAGTGAAGAGCCGTTGCAGCGACCGCGACGCCAGTGGACCCCGCGTGTTCTAGATACAAACGCTGCCCCGAGGCAGCCCGCCACTGCATCTGGAGGTGCAAATGCAATAGTGGGGGGGGGCGCACGATCGATTACAACATCTTTGCTTTCAGGAACTTCCTCAGCACGAGGTCGACGAGGCCACCTGGCTGAGAGGCCTTACGGTCCCGCGGATGATTAAGAAACCTCCCTCCGAAAAGCTGGCCCAGCGTTTCTTAACCCACTTGCCAGAAAGCTGGCTCAGTTTCTTAAGAAGATTGATAGCCTTGGATCCTAGAAATGAATAACGTGCGTTCCTGTTTGCCCAGCGTTTCCTTAAGAATCTTCTGAACAGCTGGTCCAGCTTTCTTACTTGATAGTTTTCTTGATCATATGTTTCACTGTAGTGGAGAGGTGGCGCACGATCGATTTCATCATCTTTGCGTTGAGGAACTTCCTCAGCACGAGGCCGACGGGGACACCAGGCTGAGAGGCCTTAATCCAGCAGGGCGCACTCAGGTACCGGCTCCCGCCGATCGTGAGCCTCGGTGGGAGAACTGGCTCACGGACAGCATCTTCTCGGGTTGCTTGGGCCCTGGATTCGAGGCGCGGCCCGTTTTACTCTTCGGGGCCCCCAGTGATGGCGAAGACTCCGCTGTCCCGAGGTTCCGTCATGCCGGCGCTGGTTTCGTGCAAGACAGAGGGGAGCAGAACGTGGAGGTCATTCGTGCAGTCTCGGGTATCCTGCCACGCTGCCCACGGCAATCCGCCCCTCGCGCTTAGTTTTTTCGCATTTGATGCGCCTCACGTTGGGCGTCCGATTTCGTTATTTACGTCGCCGGCAGACAGGGGGGGCACGACGGATGGCACAACCATCGTGACAAGCCGCCCTCGGGCGAGAACGTAAACTTTGTCGGGATCCTTGTTGTCATGCAGTCCCTCGTGAAAGGACATGTCGCTGTTCTTTTCATGCACAGGCATTATGATGCCAATGACTTCGTCAAGGGCACATGTATGTCGTGGTCAGTCCGGGGCGCAACCCCATAGCCGACGAGTTGGCTGGGTGGGGGGCTTCCAAACACAGGCTTCCGCTCAGCATTCGCCCCCCCGCCCAGGCCCGGAAACACCGTCTGTTTTTGGATTCGCATACTCGTTTTGAGGCCCGCGCTCGGCGCGTTGACCGTTGGGGAAGACACTGCAACGAGGGTGAGACTTCCAGGTCTTTCGGGGTGGAAGTAAGTCGGGCCTCTCCCTCTGCAGGAGGAAGTCTAAAATGTAGTCAAAATATAATCGGGGGACGATTTTCTTTAGTATTGATGAGAATGTGTTGCACATGTCTGGGCTCTTTCGAATTTTTCGTCCAAAATCCGCCCGCATGGGGACGTGCCCGACCTAAGTGTGGTAGGCGCCGGCGGGGGGTCGGACGGCCTTGGTGGGCCTCGCCCGTGGGCGAGCGCAGTGGTGAAGGAACTTGTCTCCCTCCCTCCCCCTCCATCCTCCTCCTCCTCCCTGCTTCCCTCCTCGCCTCCCTCCTCCTCCTCTCTCCTCCTCCTCCTCCTCTCTCCTCCTCCTCCTCTCCTCCTCCTCCTCCCTCCTCCTCCTCTCCTCCTCCGCCTCCTCTCCTCCTCCTCCTCCTCCTCCCTCCCTCCTCCTCCTCCCTCCTCCTCCTCCCTCCTCCTCCTCCTCCTCCTCCTCCTCCTCCTCCTCCTCCTCCTCCTCCTCCTCCTCCTCCTCCTCCTCCTCCTCCCGCGGCCCCTCCCGCTGTTGTTGTGCCACCGTCTCCCGCCAGCGCTTCCGTGCCCTGTTCCAGCCATGCCCTGGGCGCTTCGGGGCGGCGGCGCCGCCGACGTCGAGGCTCGGCTTCTCTTTCTCTATCAGGAGGGAACAAAAACACACAGACACAATTAATCGTCTATTCCCAGAAAATATGGGGAAATATGGGAAGTGGGGGGGGAAGACAGAAACCAAGAAAATATAGGAAAATATGGGGAATCTTTTTATTTGTGTGTATTTATTTGTGTGTCCCAGGGCCCCTTCAATCTAGCCAGCGCCTGGAGGAGTTCAGACTGTTTCAGGTTAGTCGCTAGTGGCGGTTCCCTTGGAGGATCTCCCGGGGGCGAGGATGCACATTGCCGGGGGGTGGAGCCACCCCTCCCACAAAATGCGCTTGCACCAGGACCTAGGTATTTGGTTCTGCGCGTCTTATGGGATGCATGTGGATAAGATTTGCTGGGTCTCGGCAAAGACTGCCCCCATGTGGTGACCCACACTCGCGCTGAGCACCTGAAGCGCATCGGGTGGGGGAGTTTCCCCAAGGCGTACAGCAAAGCCGAACTCGACCGGAAGGCTTTGGCCCACAATGTGCTTTCCCGAGGCTATTTGGATTTCGCCCTGGGGTTCCTGACTCCTGACCCCTCATATTCCGTAGCAGGTTTCCCACCTCGCCTAATATGCAAACAGCCCACTACCCTTTTCGATTGCACATCACGCCAAGGGGTCACTGTCATGATCAAGGTCATCGGGGATGCCCCAGCCGAGGGATGTAGTAGGATGTCAGGTATGGCGCGAGCGCACTCATCTTGTCCCTCCCTCCCTCCCTCCCCCCCAGTCCTCCCCAGCCATTCGCCAAGGGAGGAGGAGAGCGAGGGGGGAGGAGGAGGAGGAGGAGATCGAGGCGTGAGGAGGAGGAGGAGGAGGAGGAGGAGGAGGAGGAGGAGGAGGAGGAGGAGGAGGAGGAGGAGGAGGAGGAGGAGGAGGAGGAGGAGGAGAAGGAGGAGGAGGAGAAGAGGAGAAGGAGGAGGGAGGACGAGGACGAGGACGAGGACGAGGAGGACGAGGAGGACGAGGACGAGGACGAGGACGAGGACGAGGACGAGGACGAGGACGAGGACGGAGGAGGAGGAGGAGGAGGAGAAAGGCCGTTCGCGGGAACTCTGTCCCCCGCACTCGAGCCCGGCGCGGCGCCCCGCCCGCGCAACCGCCGTCGGCGGCCAGCCGGCCTCGGCGCGCCCCCGTGCGCCAGCGGCGGCGGGCGGCGGGCGCACGGCCCGGAGCAGCCACGCGCACATGATCCTCTTCGTGTGGGCAGCCCCTCCTCCTCCTCCTCCTCCTCCTCCTCCTCCTCCTCCTCCTCCTCCTCCTCCTCCTCCTCCTCTGGAGGAGGTTGCCCTGTGGTCGTGCGGCTCTCCTCCTATTCCTCTTCAGTTCGAGCCCGCATCTCCCTCCGCTGCTGGCTCGCCT